GCAATGAGTAATACACCGGACAATTTTGTTACAAATTCATTGTAAATGATGACGGAAAAAAAATGTTTGGTTACCAATTAGCAAATTTTTTATGGGTTTAGACAATAAATTCACACATGATCGTAAATCACAAATGCGATAGAACAGTAATTCGATTCATATCGTAATTGGCCAACCATACAACTATCGCTTCCAGTTGTGACCGGATCAAGTGACAAGTGGATTGGATGGTGCATACAATTCGTATGGGATAAATACAGCACGTGGGAAAAGTGCGGTTAATTAGTACAAACAAACGGTGCGGGATAATAAATGGAGGCTGTTGGGGGTGATTTTACAGCATCCAATAAAGAATCGCAACATGATTAACAAAGTAAGGAACAACCGTGTTTTGAGACAGAGTAGGTCTGTTCGCAACCATGCTCCTGACAGATGAGGCCAGCTTTATAGCCCTATCTACTACCACCCTCGGGGAATCGCGGCCGCCACTCTACGAGAGGTGATCTGACTCGACGAAGGTTCTTAGCCGGATCAAGAACTAAAGGTAAAGAGAAGTTTTTCAATATGAACAAAGAGAACCGAGATGGAGGATATTCGATCCCACTCTTTGGACGTACATTGTTTGATCATTTCAGTCAGTTTCTCTTTTTGGTATTTGTGAAGTTGATGTTTCTTTTGTTTTTTTCACCCATAGAGTATTTCATAAACTCATTTGGGCCTATTGTGAAAGCCCATTAAGTTATTACAGGGGCAAAAAGAAGCCCATTTTGACAGAACAATTAGGTTTACGCTGTTTTTAAGGGTTTATGCCGTTTCACTCTATATAAAGTCTCTCCATTACTCTCCTCCTTTCGCTTCTGCGCCGATTCTTCTGTTTAGCCGCCATGGTAATTTCTTCAGCTTCTCACATCATCTCTCATATCTCTCGCATGGAGAATCGTCCTTCTAATTTTCGTATTCTGCTTCTCTGTTTTCGCAGGTGAAGTATTCGCAAGAACCCGACAACCAGACCAAGTGTACAGTTCCTTTCATACACTTTCTCAGTACCATTTTGCTCTTTTGCATTCGATTTTGGTGTAGTTTGCTAATCTCTGTTGTAAATCTGCGTTTGATCTTGTAGCTTGCAAGGCTAGAGGATCCGATCTTAGGGTTCACTTCAAGGTATTGCTCGTTACAACATTCTCTCTTGTTTTTTGTTTTGTTCAGATGTAGGTAGATGTATGATTAAGGAAATGGTAGTTTCGTCGTTGATATTTAGGAAAACCTGATTGAGAAAAAGCAGAGTTCTGTTGCAATTTTCAGATCTCACGTATACTTCAGGGAAATTGAATTGGTCATCGTGATTGGGTGAATCTATGTTTATTTTTCTTATAACTAAAGGTTCAGTACATGATGGTATATTGAAAATAGTTTTATCAATTTTTACATTTTGATGCTTAGTTTAGGTCTTTTGCTGAATCTGTTAGTATGTAACCTGATTAGAAAAAGCAGGGCTTTGTTGCCTTTTTCTGTGAATAAAGCTCTCGTAAATGTCAGGGAAATTACGGGCATTGTTCTTGGGTGAACCTATGTTGATTTTTGTGACTAATGGTTCAGTAAATGATGCCACATTCTAGGTTATTTGGTTCTTAAATCTGTGTTTGTTTTCTTGTTATTGTTGATTGGCTATGAGTTTAATAGTTTTGTTACTCTCTGGTTTCTTGAAACAGAACACACGTGAAACAGCGCACGCCATCAGGAAGCTACCATTGATCAAGGCGAAGAGGTACCTTGAGGATGTGATAGCTCACAAGCAAGCAATTCCCTTCACTCGTTTCTGCAGAGGTGTCGGAAGAACTGCTCAAGCTAAGAACAGGCATTCCAATGGTCAAGGTCGTTGGCCAGCAAAATCTGCTCAATTCGTTCTTGATCTGCTCAAGAATGCTGAGAGCAATGCTGAGGTATTACAGTTGTTCTTTTAAACCAACGTATGTAATCTTTTTTAAGTTGTTGCACTTTTTTCTGAAATGCGTATTGAAATTTTCAGGTGAAAGGTTTGGATGTTGATGCCCTCTTCATATCGCACATCCAAGTGAATCAGGCTGCAAAACAAAGGAGAAGGACTTACCGTGCCCACGGAAGAATCAATCGTAAGTTTTGATATTTTATAATGGACTTGCATAGTTGTTTTTTTTTTTTGTTTCTCTGATATGACTCATTGGGTGTTTTTCTTGGTTGCAGCTTACATGTCAAACCCTTGCCACATTGAGTTGATTTTGTCAGAGAAGGAAGAGCCTGTCAAGAAAGAGGTAATAAACTTTGATCTCACTGGAAATTCAGGACTTGTTGTTAATAACAGTCAGTGATTCTGATAATTGTGTTTGATAATTTTGTAGCCGGAGACCCAATTGGCAGCCAAGTCAAAGAAAGCAGCAGCTTAAGTTCTCTCTTTTTTAATTCCTTTTTTGGTTTGTTCTTGAAAGAGATTTTGTGCCCCTTTTCTATCGAATCGTTTTGCAAGACAATGGATGGATTTTCGTTGAATGTTACTGTTATGAAATTATTGATCATGGTTAGTATTCATTATCTGCTATATTAAACCCTGCCGTTTATGTTACTAGTCAATTAGTTAAATGAAAGAAAAGAGCTAAACACGAAAAAGATGTTGCATTTTGTAGCATTCTCTATTCACTGAAAATTTTATATTTGGACGAAATTATAGAGTTAATTAGCAAGTGAAAATCACTCAATAGTGCGAAGCACCCATTGGTAATAGTAGATGATAAATTTCTGATAAGAGATCCAGATTAACAAGAGCTAAAAAAAATCCAGAGTTTGCGAAGGTGGTGGATTAACGTCTAATTTGATCCTTTCTATTTTCAAAATATTTTTCTCATATACCGGTGGTAATTCCCTACCTTTTTTTACATGATTTCTCTGTGGAAATGGTAGTTGACATCGTCTTTGGTGAATCTTCTCCCATCATCCCTTTCTCTCATTCTCAATTGCTCGAACAATTGGGTCGTCCTCTATGTCCAAGTCACTCTCTTCATCTTCGAGCTCGTCTAACTCAGAGATCATTGTCTGTTTCACCTTTTTCCTCGACTCCCTCCTATGCTTCTTCGGCTCTAACCGTGGTTCAGCTTGTTTCACACCCATGCCTCCCATCTTGTACCTGTGTCAAGTACTCCCTGATTAGTCTATATTTGTTGGCTGTAAGAACAATCTTATAAATTAAGCTCTTGTTTCAGGAGAATCGAACAATACCTAACATCTCCTTCCCTTTTGGTTCCAAAAGTCCTAAGTTGAAACTCCTCCCTGATTCTGATCTCATCAAGCAGCTGTATGTAGAAAGGATACCTTTCCCAATCACCTTTCACTACACATCCTGGCTCGCCAATGTGCAAGCAATCTTTGAATCCACATTTTTCGTCCTCAATCATTTTCCGTATCTAAGAACAGAGTTAACAATACATCGTCACAATCAGTTAACAATGCATCATCACAATCGGTCCATATGCAAAATGGGCACAAATGCATCATCAGAATGTGGCAAATGGGGACAAGCCAAAGGGTACAAAGTACAAACCTCAGGGAAACAGAAGGCAAGTGATTGCTTTGTTACTTTGAGCAAACTAGGCTGGTTAAAGCCAGGAGTATCAGCAAGGTAACCACCTTCAGAGAGCGGCAGTAGCGATACATTTCTTGTCGTATGTTTACCTCTACCACTTCTACTTGAAACTTCCCCAACACGCTGATCTTCAAAGTACTTATTACCTAATATCTGAATACAACAAAGGTCAAGTCATGTGGACATGGTAAAAAAGTTTAGCTCTAGAATGTTAACGCACGAAAAACCTTACAGGCTCAAACCAATTTTCTTCTTCAATCGCATGACCAGAGTTACTTCTCAATATATTGATTAAGCTCGACTTTCCCACACCACTAGGGCCAACAATCACAGAAGTCTGATTTTGCAAGATGAATGCAATCGCATCGAGTCCATCTTTAGTCCCCACACTGCAAAAGAATGGTTCATAGTTCCATCCTCGCAATCTTATCTTCCAAGATTCCAATTTCTGGAAACAATATCATGGCTCTAATCAATCCCTAGAATGGAGTATACAGCAGCAAGTGGTCTAGGAAATTTCTCCCTAATTTCTCCTTACCTCTTGAGTGATGAGTTCAGATTTGTTCAAGGCAAGAGTTAGTGGGATTCCAGTGGATTCAGCCTCCACCAAGAATCTGGTGAGTGTGAATGGCTCCAGTTTTGGTTGATCAAGAGAGAATAGAACCAGCAAGTGATCCACATTCGCAACCGGTGGATCCAGAATCTCCGAGCGACGGTGAAACACATTCTCGATCATTCCTCTCCGATCAACCCAATCGATAGATCCAACGAGAACCTTATCCCCAACCAAAACTCTCCTCCGTATCTTCTTCAACACAGCTCTCACAACGCAAAGCAGCTCAACGCCATTCTTAGAAGAACCATCATCGCTCTTCTCAGAACCAGCTACGTCGTGAACAACGACGCGCATAAAGTTGGCTTGAGCAGTAGCAACAGTACCGATGGCTTGAGACTCCAAGAGCGAAGGTTTGTGGTCCGGCGAGAGAACCGGCGCTAAGGAAGAGTAATCCTTACCGATATGCTTCGCTCTGAGCATATTCTTACTCGGTTGAGGCTTTCTAGAGACATCAGGATTATCTCGTCTCGCTGAGAGAAGGTAAAAGCTAGGGCGGATTCCAACTCCGACTCCGTATCCGCCGTGAAAAATCGACGTGCGACGGAGGAGAAGAGATGAGTGGCGGATTATGGAGAGAGAAGATGTCTGCATATGAAAATTCCAGAAGATTCGAAAACAGTGAGGAGAGAGAGAGCAGTGAAGAAAATGGCTTCAAGATTCAAGAAGATGACACAGAGCTATGGGCCCTCTGTGCCAAGTATAATGGGCTTAATAAAAGCCCAACATAATTTCTTTAAAAGCGAGGGAAATAGCTTTTTGTATTAATTTCTAG